GGGCAAATAACAGGAGAGGGAGGGAGTAATATACTCAAGTGACATTTGCACCCAGGTGCAATGATGTGTCACTCATCACAGCTAGACCAAATAGCATCTCTGGGGCACCAAAATTACACAGCCAAGTAAATCCTACAAAATCCATCTGCCCTTTTCAATATTTGGAGATAATTAACTTCTCCAAGCTGAGATATTACAAAAGAAAGCTGTTAGTGAATCTGTTCTGCCACAGGTCTGGCTGGATGTGCAGCTTGCCAGCACTGGGGACACTGAAAGGGCAAGGAAAACATTTCATATTTCTGTACATTCCCAGCTCCCTTATAAGAAGGCTACAGAGGTGCACACACAATACAGTGAGTCAGAAGAAGGAAAGACCAAAGGCAAACTTACCAGGACAAACGTGTCTACCGCTCCATCTGCATCACCTGAACCACAGTCAACACCAGAGCCATATCCAGGTCCTGCTCATCCACCAAGAAAACTGGCTGCAGCAGTAACTAGAAATATCAGGATAGACACCCCCCCCTTACCAAAACCAGACAGAGCTTCTTCAAACAAAGCCCCTCATCTGAAAGGAGAGGAGCTCACACCAAGCCTCATGCAACACCTCACCTACAACCAAACCAGCCATCATCTCCCTCCCTGCAATAAATACACAGCCTGCAGCTGGCCCAGCCCTCCCACCAGCAAACCCCAGTTGGGCCAGTTGATTGCAGCATTCCTTAGCCAGAGGGAGGCAATTAGCACCTTCCTTTCCACCATGGCCCCACAGCTATGTACCCACCAGGGTGATAGATGCTAGGAAAAGCAAACAGGAGCATGATTCTGCTCTCCTCTCAGACCTGCTGCTCCACACTCACCCTGTTCATCTGAAAAGGCAGGAGATGCTGGAAGGTGTGATGTGCCCATTGCTGTCTGGGAGGCTGGCACTGCCCTCCAGGTGTGCTACGCTCCCCTGTGAAGCTGAGAAGATGTGAAGGGCTTATCTTTAAATTAAACAGCAGGCCACTGGCCCACAAACAGGACAGGAGAGAAAACACATGCCCAGAGTGACTGAGGGAGAGACACCCAGACTGAGCAAGCAAATGAGGGACGATGAGATGTGCAGAGCCCTGGGTAAAACCGAGGAACCTCTCCAGACAGAGGCTTACACACACCTCTGCTGAGTGTATTGCATCGCTTTAGACAGACTTCTCACCCTGTGGCACGAGGGATGTGAATCACACAGAGGTACAACTCTGGGGCTTTGTGGAGAGCTAAAGTGCTTTGCCATCATGCAGACCCTGCACCCTGGGAAATCACAGGACTGTGGGCTCAGGGTAAGGTCCAGTGAAGTTTGAGTACTCCCTGCTAATTGCTGCAGATGTGCAAAGACTGGAGATCCCCAGAGCTGGAACAAGGCAGATGCCTCCTGCACCAGTGACCCTTCGCAGAGCTGGTGCTGCCTGTGCTGCCTCCACGGGTCACAGGGGCAGTAAATATTTGCACAGGGCCGGACAAGGAGAAAGCAAACAGGGTTTCCTTATTTATGGGCCTTGGCAGCAGACTCCTTGGGTAGCTCCACAGCATTTCCGTCATCCCTGAGCCCCAGCTGGGGCTAAGCCCCCACCATGCACCCCGTCTGCTTCACGGGGTGCTGCCACTGGAGGGGAGAGATGGGTGGGAAGCAAAGAACCAGGATAGGGATGTGAGGCCAAAGGCAGGAAGGACAGGGAGTGAGTGAGAGTGACAGAGAGAGGGAGAGTGTGAGAGTCTGAGTTTGCAGGAGCAAGTAAAGTGATGTTGCATGGGTGTTTTGGAAGCTGTGTTTATTTTACCTGCAGACTAGCAGTAGGGAAGATGGATACATCTGCTAGGCTGGCTTCCTAGCAGTCCCAGGGGCTCTTTCCTGCAGTAAGTCAGCATGGTGAAGCCCCCAGAAGGGTTAAATGGTGTTACCGAGCTCTTCGTTCAGCAAAGGGAGAGTCCAGGCTCAGAGAGGCTTCCAAGGTCAGCGAGACAGCCTGAACCCTTGCTGCATGGCCACGTGTATGCCTGCCAGGACATAGGCACACACATGCACACATGAGTACGTGTGAGAGGAACCTCTTGCACAGACAGGTTCACTCCCTGCAACTGCTGCTGCAGGGACCCAACAGGGAATAGGAGCCCGGGAGGAAGCAGGAGCTGTGGGAGTGCTCCCAGGGTCTCCGAGTGGGAGGTCTGCATCTCCTGCCAGAGGAGTGCCTGGAGCACAGTCCTGCCCAGAGCCTGCTCCAGAGACACAAACCATGAACATACCTTGAAGCAGCTGGGTGTCCCGAGCGTGCCTCATCTGCTTCCCATCATCCACCAGAGAGACGGATGGCAGGAGGCAGAGAGGAAGGAGCTTGGGGATCACTGACCCCTCTTGGTGCTGAGTGTCTGGGTTTAGGAAGGATTCAGACTTATTACAAACCTCCAGAGCTGTTGATTTCTTGGATTTCTGTCATGTCACAAGAAGCTTTCTCTGGGCTGAAAAGGGCAAGGGTATGTATCTTATTCCATAAACTCCCCTGAGGCAAAGGTAAGCCCACGAGGCCAGGGGTTAAAAAGACCCAAACAAGGCTGGAAATACTATGAAGGAAAAGGGAAGGAAGGATTATGTGAATGACAGGATCCTGGTGGCTCTTCAGGAGGGGTCAATATGGTTTGGTGGGGATGGACAATGTTTGCTATCGTGCTGGTGTCCAGCATGAGGAATTGTGCTGGAACAAGTTCCATCCCTGAATTTGCTAATAGCTCAGAGGGATAATCCCCCTGAGCCAAGCCTGGTGCTGCCTGTTGGTTCCTGCAGCCTGGCTGACTGCTTTACTTACAAACCCTGACCAACATAGGCACTGGTCAGTCTGCTTTTCACTCCAGCAGCACGAGCAAGAGACTTTCTCCTAACAGGGATTGATGGCATCTGGATGAAGCTTTAGGATTCCCCTCCAAGGTAAATCATGGTGCAAATCACTTCTCTTTCAGGCAGTCATCTCACCAGCCAGCAAATGAACGACTGGGTTTGTGGGAGATCAGACCAACCAGAACCATGCTGCACTGGTAGAAAGGGAAAGCTAAAGCCATGTCCACACTGCTATGAACACTTTTCTCTCCATTGGATTTGTGCATCTGTGAGGTCCCCACAGACTGCATGGGGACCACAGGTGGGTCTTCCAGGACGGGCCTCCTACCCAAAGCAGGCTGAGAAGCACATGTAGTGGTCTGTGCTGATGCATGAATGCCCAAAGCACTCCGCCTCTCGTCTTTCTGAACCTGCCTGCGCGGTTCATCACCCAGAAGTAGCTCCCAACGACTGGGAGCTTCTGGACAAAGGGCTCAGGGTATTTGTCATGAGGATGGAGGCTGGTGTTTCCCTCAGTGCTGAGATAGTATCCCTGAAAAACAGCTGGAGTGGAGCAGAGTGTAAGCAGGTTTGAGGCTGGAAAAGGTTCATTTACAGAACCTCCAAACCAGCAGCCCTGGCTGGGTCTGACTCTTGCCTTGCTCCTTCTGCCGTAATTCATCCTGCAGCAAAGTGAGACTAAACGGTTACCATATGGATTCGATAGCATGCTGCACCTGCTTTCCACCCTCGGCAACCACATGTGGTACAGCGTGATGGAGAGGCAGGGCTGTGTGCAAGCGTGCGTGTACAAATCAATCACAACACCAGCTCGGGGGTGGCTGGTGCTCCACACCAGCTCCCCAAGGCTGGGCCAGCCAGGGCTGCTGGGGCAATGCTTCTACATGGAGCCGCTGGACCTGGCGAGGTCCTTGGTGGTTTGGTGCCCCAAGGAACAAACCATAAGCTGTGCAGAAGTACCCAAAGGGACACTGCCAATTCCTGCTCCCCATTGCCACTGGGAGCAATGCAGCAGCCTGGCTGAGGTGTTCCATGAGGACAGGGACTGTGCCTGATGAGGGAATCCTGTCTGGCTGGGGGACCCAAACCCCCTCTGCCACTGGCAGTGAGAGCCAAGTGCCCCACACTCATCAAGGGAAGAGGAAAGGAACTTGGGAGCCATTTTTCTCTAGCAATCTGTATGTTTTCTTACAGAGAACATAAATAAGGAAATAAACTGTCACTGGCCTATAGAAACCATCTGACTGAAGCTCCAGGAATCTCTGGGATGAGTTTACAGAGCTCTGTGTAAACACAGTAAATGGGGCACAGACTGGGGTTGAGGTTGCTGCCGGCTGGGGAGAAGTTATGGCTCCCACCTCCACGCTGGTTAGGGATGCCACTGTCCTGAGTGCATCTCCCTGGCAGAGAACAGATGCTGGTGGGTGTTTTTCTTGCAGAAATAATGAGCCAAACTGATCTGCCTAATGCTGAAGAAAAGCCAACACGCATTTGCTCTCCTGCTGCAAGTGCATGGCACTGACAAAGATGGAGCAACCAGTAAGGGCAAGGGTGGGAAAGCAGCAGCCCCCAGGTGCCCTCAGCCCCAGCACTGGGAACCCCTCTGCTAGCACGACCCTCCGACTGCTCACCAGGACCCCTGTACCATGCCTGCCATTGCTGGGCAGGTTTTTCCTTATACTGCCATGCCCTGGAAGGTGCAGCAAGTGATGGCACGGGGTAGGTGCTGCTAGGAAGGACTCAGGCTTAGCTGTGTCCCGCAGCTGCAGCCAGCCCTGTCAATGTAGCACCTTCAGCACTCTTGACAAGGAACATTCCAGGGACCTGGGGGCTCCAGCCCACCCCAGCAGCTGGTACTGGTTTTACAAACCAACCTGAGGTCAGGAGGGGCTACTGGTCCTCGATGTCCCAAGACACAGGCATCTGCTGCTCCTGCAGGGGTGAAGCAGTGGATACTTCTGCTCTGCAACCTGAGGGGAAGCCCTGTGGAATCTCCTATCACCCGTTTCCACTTTGTCCCTCTCTGAACACTAAAATGTCTATGTCAAAAGTAGACGTTAAAATTTAAGGAAAGCTAAATAGAAATTAAACTTGTGTATTTTGAGAGGAAATGAGTCCCGTAAGGTGATCATGCTGCTATGCACAGATGATTGATGTCAGTTTATTTATCTGCTACTGCTAAATGCTTGCAAAGGAGAGAAGAAAGGAGCACAGCCAAACTCTGGTAGTTTCGGCAGTGTCCAAGGCGAGAGCTGGGCAGCCTGTGACCAGCCTGTGCAGCACAAACCTTCTGGAAGCAGAGCTTTTGGACTTCCACAGCACAGATCCCTGCTTTTCTCTGTCCCAGCTGGCTCATGCTTCATCAGCTCCAAAACCACAAGTGAGCATATGGCTGAGGAGAGCCTGCGTGGTGCAGAGGCTGTTGCTTGTTCTCAAGTATCTTTCCATTACCCTTTCCCTTTACTTCCCTTAGGGCAGTGATTATTTCTCAGCCCCTGCCCCTCAGATGGGTTGCACCCCACTCTTCTCTGGCTGGGTCCTTATACAGGTAATATCTTGCTGTCCCCTGCCAGGATGTCTTGGAAGCTGCTTTTGCTGCCTCTGTTCCCCTTCCCTATGAGGCTGTTTTGTTGGCCTGGCTACTATTTGCATAATGGTACCCATAATCACTTGAGGAGGAAATCATTTCCTTTCACTGGAACTGGAGACCTTTTCATTGCATTTATTTGTACATATACATTCCCGAAAGCTGTGCAGTGACAGATGCTGGAAGCGACCGCCTCCGTGCAGTGCAATCAGACACCCTCCGCCCGGCCCTGCCGCTTCCTTTTAACAGCCTGTTTTTTTATCCTGCAGAAAACAAGGATTGCTGATTGAACGGTGGTGCCTTTGCAAACGCTGCTCATTGGGTCCCAGCCATCTGTTAATGCGTTCAAGGTTATCCAGGGGCTGACTCACGCTTGCTTCTCTCATTCTCTCTCTCTTCAAACCCTGCTCTTCCTCATTTTACACTTCCTTGGAAAGAGATCAGTGACATGGTATGTTTGACACCCTAGGAAGTGTTAGTCATTGCTTACCCGTTGCTGAGTGACAGTGTCCTCCTGCTGTGGCTGCGTTGGGCACGCGTGTCCTGGGGATGCCATCCATCCATCTGTCTGTCCGTTCATCCATCCGTCCATCCATCCACTCTAGGAAACCTGTGCGGCTGGAGCTCCAATCCTGCCTCTGCACCTCAACTCAGGGAGAAGAAGCTCTTACACGTCACCATCCTCTTCCAAATTCCTTGCTTCAGGATCCTTATTTTGCAGGTAAATAAATATGTGTATGCAAATAAAGCAAAAAAAGGGGGAATAGAGGGAGAGAGGAAAAAGAGAGATAAGGTGTGAAAAGAGCAGTCCCAGCAAGGTGTAATGGCAAAGCTACGCCTCAGACGTGCTGACCAGTGCAGAAAAGGTGCCTGAGCAGTTTGTTCAACATGAAGCCGACCTGTGCTTATGGGTGAGGATCTGTCCAGCAACCCTGCTTGGACCAGACCTAAGGACAAGGATGGGCTTGTCCCAGCAGCACTGTATCTGCTCACAGAGCTGTGGGTAGGGAAGCTGCTACTGCTGCTGTGGGACAGGGCATTGTGGTCCATGAGGGTCCAGCCATCTGCCAAGCACTGATGGGACACACTGAGGATCCATGCTGGCAGGGAAGCCCAGCTGCTGCCACTCACTGGGAGAGTGGAGCAGAGCAGTTTTGATGTGTCAAAACAAAGGTTTTTTACAGGAATGTGCTAACTTCAGCTTAACTCTTTTCAGGAATTTCTGCTCAAAACTGAGAAGGAAGAGAACACTCCCATCTCATCCCACCCCAACTCATCCCTGCTGCCCCATCAGCCCCACAGGGACACAGAGCTGGGAGAGCAGGATGAATCCTGCCTGGGCTGGTGCTGGGAACCATGGTCTGGGCATGGGGCTGGGAGCAGGTGAAGTGTTACTCTCTCCAGAAATGGTTTTGATTAGAAATTATTAGAATAAAAATGGGCAAGTAAAGCACAAAACAATGTCATTGGCATGGCTCTACACTTCCTGTAAATGTTTCTATTTTGATTAGTCAACATTCCTCATGAAAACCTTCTCTTCCACACCCTTCACCCCAGAAAAACCCCAAACAGTTAAAGCTGTTCAGAATTGCCCTTGCACAGAGGATGGCGGTGGGTTTAACCTCCCAAAAGGAAGGTGTGGGTGTCAGCACACGGCTTTTGTCCGGTGAAATACAACCCCATGGCAGCTCTGACCGCAGTCCATACATGCCTTGGACACCCTGTGCCTGGAGGAGCCAGGGCTGCTGCAGAGCAGAGACACAATTCAAACGGGTTTGCTGCAAAGGGAAGGTTTAATGGTCAGTCCCAGCCGAGGAGCATTGTGAGGAATTCAGGACGATGCCTGCATGCGCCCAACCAGCTCCCCTTCACCCGGGGTCCCCAGGTCCGGGTGATGAAGAGCCCTTGGCACTGGGCTGGCCGCAGAAGCCATCAGAGCGAAACTGCAGCCCTTCTAGCTCCACTTAAGAGACTCAAATCCTATTTAATGAATGATCATTAACTGGGGACATTTCAGATGAGAAAATCGTTTTAGGAACGAGCAATTAAATCCTCATGCTTAGATCACGTAACTCATTTCTAATTAAACTCACTGTAAATTATAGCAACGGTATTTATTTTTAATGAGAAATAAAACTGAAAAGAAATTGTGGCCCTTCAAAAAAAAAAAAAGGAAATGAGAGGGAGGCAGAGAGGGAGCGAGCAATGGAGGGGAAAGGAGCAGGGAGCAGTGAGAGAGTTCAAAAACAGGCAGAAAAAGGCTATTAAAGCCCTTCCCGCTGTAGTCAAGCAGCCGCCAAGCACCGATCTCCATTCCTGCTCTGTGTCTGAGTACCTCCTGGCAACAGCTATTTATATTTCTGACCTTTCCCAAAGGTAGGTAAACGTCCAGAGCTGTGGCTCTTGGGGGTTTTGCCACTGGGAAGCAGACTTGCTTCGCGCTCTCTCCAGATGCAGCTGCGGCATGACAAGGAAAAATGGTGCCCATATGGAGACATTAATGATCAGAGGTTCAAAGCAAGCACGGAAGGATCGACTGCTCTCCAAGCATATATTAATCACATCCATCACGGCACGGCTCTGGGCAGTGGCAGGGGAGTGGCAGGCGGCAGCTGGCGGGAAGTCCAGCACCAGGCAGAAGGATGCTAATGGTGATGGGGAAGGTGTAACGCTGCAGGCTGGGATTGATGGAAGCTAGGCAAGGAAATTTGGGGGTTGCCTGGGCCATTGCCCTCTTGTGGATGCAGAAGTCTCCAGGTCTCACCCCCCTTGCCATGGGACCTCGTGTACAGGGCCTGGAGAAGGAGGAGGGCAAGCATTGGCATCTGAGTGTCCATGGCAGGTGGAACCCACACTTTACCACGTAGTTAGGGCAGACAGAACACATTCCGAGTGATTACTGCAAACTCAGCAAGGGTGCGTAGCTGCGTAACAAACGTCCGTGTGCAAAGGTATGTCTGATGCTAACCCAAGTAAATTGTCCCTTCCTACGTAACACACCAAAGCCCTCCAGCCCAATTGCACAGCACCGCCGCAGTTGTGCTCCGCTGGCATCTTTCACGCAAGGACCTCACAGCACTTTCCAAACAACAATTAATGCAAATCACTACCCTTCTGATATGTTGTTTATCCTTAATTTTCAGTTGGGGAAACTGAGGTACAGGGCTGAGTTCTGACTCACCCACCGCAGGAATGGAGGCAGAGCCTGAGGTGCTGCTGGGGACTACCAACCTCCATTCAGCCTCCCAGATCCACTGGTTATGCCAATAGGCCCTTGCAAGCATCCTACAGCACTGTGCTGTACATAGGAATAGCCCCAGTCTGTGGGCCAGGAGTTTATTTTTAGTGGAAAACATGCTGGCTTGCATCCAGTAATGATGGGCTTAACCCCACAAACTCGAGTTCACGCCAAGCCTGCTTGGAGATTCATAAAAGTTTAATGTTTTTCAGCAATGTTTCCGCTCTCTCAGCGCCGTCTGTGCCTCGCTGGGACGGAGTTGGCGGTGCAGAGGCAGGAGCTGCTTTCCAGCTCCCCACCACAGCCAGAGCAGAGGCATGTTGGGGGTCCCCCAAGGGGAGTGCAGAGTGGGGGCAAAAAGGCTCTGGGCTGAGCAATGCTTGGCTCAGCCCAGCCTAGAGGCAGCCTCAGCTCCTGTGTGATGAAGGCAGTGGTGCTCCCCTTGCTGGAGGAGATATGTGCATCCTGGTTCTCACCCCTGAGCGAGAGCTGGTGCTGCAGAGAGAAAGGAGCTACTGCCACTCACCATCCCATAGCTCACCATCCCATAGCTCCCCATCCCATAGCTCCCCATCCCGTAGCTCCCCATCCCGTAGTTCACCATCCCATAGCTTGCCATCCCATGCCAGGGCTGCCCTGCTGCAGCAACACAAATACAAGTGATACAACCCCCTAGTGCAATCCCTCGTGTGCTCAGGACAGAGTGAATCGCCAAGAGCATGCTGAAAACGGAGCTGGAGCTCGGAGCAAACAAGGCTCCTTCAGCTTCCCGGAAACATTCCCACGAGTCCCCCAGGGAGCTTTTCCTTTCGCGCTGGCTCTGTTTAAACAAGCTCAGTGCCTCGGCACAATGGTGCACGCTCCCTCCCTGAAAGCCTCACTAATGACTTTTTAGAAGGGGCCCTCTCAGGCTGTTAAGTCAGTGTCGGATTTAGCGTGCGTGGTGTGGCTTGCCAGCTGTCTGCACGCGGATTTAAATCTGATCCGCGTGGAACAGCGGCAGCTCCGGCGCTGGGCTTCGGACAAAAGTCGTGATTATTCCCCTCTTCCCAACAAAGCCGGCTGTGTCCAAGGGCTTCCTGGCCATTACACCGCTGCTGCCCCGGTGCTGTGCTTCCCATCCCTGCTGGCACTGTCTGTGGAATGGTGGCACATGGGCTCTGACACTGTGCTCCATGGATATAGTCCGGTTACATAGAGCTGCAACCGAAATAGTGGTACTAGAGGTGGCTGCGTTAGGTCAGGATGGAGATGGGGAGAAAGCGGGTAAAGGATATGTCTGTCCTGGCAGCACCTGATTTACCCTGTTTGGGGGAAGAAGAGAAATCCTCAATATCTGGGGCTGTGCACAGAGCATATCCCTCCTGCAGGATGATCAGAGCACCAGTGATGCATCCCCACCTGGCTCCTATTTTTTTCACTTCAGTACTGATGTTTTAGCTGTGAGGGCTCGGAAGGCTGTCACCTGTAGTTGTTCTTGGTTATTTCCAAACATGAAACATCAAAGTCCTTAAGCTTTTCTCGGTCCAGACACTTGTTTTACTTGAAACTTCCTCCTATTCTGTGAAATGAGAAAGGCAAGATGACCATGACTCTAATATCTGTTCCTCACCCTTTGGCTGTTGAAGCCCACCCACATCTTTGTCTGATGCTCTGCAGGTCGTTGCCAACCCGGGGCACAATCTGGCCCATGTGTGGACTGAGGGAGGGGTAACTTCCACCCATGCTGCCCTTGAGGTTTCCGCAGGGATCGTGTGGAGGTGGTTGTACCATCCGGAGCCAGGGCTGGCCCTGGGAGTATATGTGTGTGCGTAGGAGGTGGGAGAGGTATGTGAGCTCCTGGGACAGAGGGGGTTCAAGTGTGCACAGGGTACAAGGGGAAGCGCTGCCCTGTGCTGGAGCTGCTCAGGAAGAGCATCACAGGAGCATCTCAGCAGGACTTGGGCTTCCCCCTTGGAAGGGAGACTCAGAGAATCCCTCCAGCTCCCCCCCATTCCTGAAAGCCCATGCTGCCATATGCATGGTTCTAGCACTTGGAGGTTATTAACGCTGGCTGTTGTGTGGCTGCTCTTTAAACCAGGAGATTCCCACCTCAGACAGAGGCAGCAGGAGGTACAGCCCGGCCGGTGGTGAGGTAGCCAAGTCAGCACTCCAGCTGCCCAATTTAGCCCCACTGTTTCTGTCTGAAATGGCATGTGCATATGGGAGAGGCCTGGCTGCGGGCTGCCTAACCAGGTCAATGTTAAACACATGCCCCTTCAGAAAGATTATATGGAGCCTGTTTTCCACGGCCTCAGACAGCTGTGCTCTGGCAGTATCATCTGTCTTTTAATGGTGCCCTGCAGAGCTCTGAAGTTGCCACTATTTAGGCACGAGGGGAAGAAACAAAGCGAGCACAGGAGCGAAGAGGCGGCAGCCGGAGGAAGCACCGGACCCTGCCTACGCGGATCCTGCTGCTGCTGCTGGGGCTGGACTGGTGACAGCGGGAAGGGTCATTAGCGAGGGAGTTGAGTTTCTGCCCTTCTCATGCTGTCCTCAGGGAGAAGCACCCCACAGAGCTGCCCTCGCCTCCAGCAAACACCAGCTCAGCCCCCTAAATGGAGCCCAGGCAGGAGGACAGGTTGGAGCCTAATGAGTTCCAACTCCCGGAGTAAGGAAACAGCAATCAAAGGGCTTGTTATTGATATAAAGAGCTACTGTGTTGCCCTGACACCTTCGGCTCTTGAACTGTTTAACCACCTGCCTGGGGAGTGAGG